AGCCATGGGAGGTGCTAATCATCATTCCGTGGTTTGGAAAGGCTCAGTCATCTTCAGGTTGAATCTTCAGCACTTGGGGAAGGCAGAGCTTTATTTTAAAAAGAACAGTTGTTTAGCTAAGCTTCTGACATGACCATGATTTGCCTGCCCACATTACTGAATCATTCTGACTGAAGAACATGTGATTAAAAATTTGATATTTTGCATAGTCAGAAAAGCTTGTTCTGCTTAGAAAGTGTTTTCTCTGTGACACAGATGTGCTTTTCAAAGCCTTGGAATTTCCTCTTTTGAAAATATGTTGAGCCAACTGAATTTTTAAAGGAAATAATTTATATTCTGAATTTAGCTCTGCTGAAAAGCATGCAAGAATTGAAGCCATGCTTTTTGTAAATGTTTCGAAGTTTTCCTGTAGTTTATCATGTGAGGATGAACTGAAGAGACTATAGTCCTGGGAATAATGTAGACTTTGATTTTCAAAAGACTGAGAAAGTGCATCAAAGTAAAAAAATATTGTACCAACTTGTATATTATCATTAATCCCCAGAATATGAAAAGCTCAATTCCTAATATTTAAAATCTTTATCAATCATTATCTGCAACACTTTATGTGGCCAATCCTTTCTGTTGTTGCCCATCCCAATAGATATGTAGGGGTATCTCAGTGTAATTTAATTTGAATTTCTCTAATGATTAAAGTTGTTGAGCATCTTTTCATGTGCTTATTTGCTATTTATACATCCTATTTGGTAACGTGTGTGTTCAAATGTTTTGGCCAGTTTTTTTATTGTTTCTGTTTTTCACCATTAAATTTTGAGAGTTTGTTATATATTCTGAATCTTAATTATTTATTCAACATGTGTTTTGCTGATATTTTCTTTTAGTTTATGTCTTGTCTTTTCATTTTAACAGTGTCTTTCAAAATGCAGAAGTTCTTAACTTCAATTATTGTTTTTTTAAGTTTAAACATAGTGTTTTTGGTGTTATGCCTAAGAAATTTTTGCTGAACTCAGGGTCACAAAATTTTTGTCCTATGTTAATTTCTAGATATTTGGTGCATTTTAATATTTACGGCAATAATCCATTTTGAGTTAACTTTTGTCTACATTGCAAGGTACAGACCAAAGTTCAATATTTCTACATATAGATGTCCTGTGCACCATTTGTTGAAAACACTGTTTTTCCTCAACTGAATTACCTTTTCAACTTTGTAGAAAATCGATCAACAATATTTAGCAGTTCTATCTCTGGACTGTTCTTGGCTTCCCTGATGCATGTGTCTATCCTTCTGCTATTGACCACAATGACACGTCTACCTCAGCTTCATAACAAGCCTTGGAGACAGGGAGTGGGAGCCCACCACTTTGTTTCTCCATTTTTCAACATGGTTTGGGCTATTCTGTTCCTGAGTTGTCATGAAAATTTCAGAAGTAGTTTGTCAACTCACATTTAAGAATCCAGTGTGATTTTGACTCAAATTATATTTAAAAATCTGTGCATTAACTTTGGGAGAATTGACAGTATCACTTTATAGAGCCTTCCAGTTCACGAACACACTACCATGTTTACTAATGTCCCCTTTAATCAGTACTTCTCTCATAAGAGTTTGTGGTTTCAGCATAGAGATGGTTTACATACTCTGTTAGATGGATACGTAATCCTTTCAAGTGTTTTGGTGCTACTTAAAATGGTCTACTTTAAAGTTTCAATTTCCAATTGTTCATTGTTAGCATATAGACATGCACTTAATTTTAAAATATCGATTTTTAAATCTCACATATCTATTTCAGTAGCTTGTTTGTACATTCCTTTGAATTTTTCTTAGACAATTAAGCTATGAATAGTGGTTTTATTTTATTTTATTTTATTTTTGTTTTCAAGCTCTATGCCTTTTTTCTTTTTTCTTCCATATTGCACTACCTAGAATGACCAATAGAAGTAGTTATAGAGGTATTCCTATCTTGGTTTCAATTTTAGGAAGAAAGCATTTGGTCTTTCACCTGTTAGCTGTAGGCTGTAAATCTACTTTACCAGATTGAGGTAGACTTCCACAAAATAATTTTGAATTGTGTCAAATATTTGTTTTCTGTATCTAATAAAATGATCATATGCTTTCCCTGCATATATTTTATTATACTGACTGATTTCTGACTATTGAACCAGTCTTCCATTTCCGGAGCAAATGCCATATTTTGCCATTTTTACATGTTGCTGTACTCACTTTGCAAAATTTTGTAGGATATTTGTATTTATATTCATGACCGATATTGGCCTGCGGTTTTATTTTCTAATGGCTTTGACTAATATTTTTGCAGTAATGCTGGCCTCGTAAAATGAGCTGGGAAGTGTCTCCAAAACTTAATTGTAGAAGAAATTCTGAAAATATTTATTTCTTCCCTAAATATTTGATAGAATTCACCAGTGAAATTTTATGGGTCTAGAGTTTTGTTTAAATAATTTAACTATAAATTTAATTGTTTTATGTATTTTTTCCTAAATGTGCTGCAGTTTATCATTTTTTTCTTGCTCTGTGAGTTTTTCTCAAATTCTATCAGTTGAATTCAGGTGTCTCTCCCTTCCATGGTAACACAGACCAAGGATTTAACACCTGTGCATTAGGGACTATAATAGGCACAGAAGATGTGATGTCTCCTTGGCTACTCAAAGGTGGCAGAAGCTAGCCTGTGAATGGCTTGAGCAGCCCGGTGCCATTTTTCTCCTTTGGCCCCAGGCTAATGACACCCCCTCCCATGCATTTGGTCTCAGGGACTTTGCTTTTGACTTCAGCACCTTTGGCCATCACTACACCCAGCACTGCTCTCCCCATAGGACAAAGCAGGCTGGTGATTTGGGAATGCAAACCCAACAGAATGGTAGTTTGAGCTCCCCCTAGAGTGTGCTGCTCACACTTGTATGCTTGGACTTTCCTGATTTTTCACTGGAAGTTCAGGACCGCAGGAACCACCTCAGTCCTAGCAAATTGTACAGTTAGTTACAGTCATTGCTATCCCACTAGACTGGCCCAGTTCACTGAGATTTGTTCTAAAGCAGCTGAGGCAGGAGTTGAGAGGGCCCAGGCATCAGAGGCCTCCAGGGAGTGTAAGATTTCTCAACAGAAAGCAAAACTGCCTGTTCCTCTCAATAAACACTTTCTCCAAAGCTCTCCATCCCCTTAATAACACTGCATTCAGCATTGGAGATCCTGTGGCTCAGCAGTTACAGCCACATAACCTGTCAGGTAGGGGCCAGGTGAATCAGGATGGAAAAGAAGGTAGGGTTGTGTGTATAGGTGAAGAGACCTGCAAAAAGGCTTAGAATAGATACAGAGGGTTCCTATTTCAGCTTTTGGTAGAGATAGTTGGTTAGGATACAGTAAAAGAACTGTGGCATTGCTTACCTTGACTGTCTGCCTTTGTGTTCATCTGTCATTGGTGCTCCAGAATATTGTCCTAGGAAGTTTAGATCCCCCACAGGTATCCACCAATGTTATGGTAAAAAGTGTTTAAGAGTTGTTACATGATTACACTATGAAGAATGGGGATAATCCAAATACGTATTCATGAGGATGGAACACCATCCTTCCACCTCTCTTTTTGCAGCCATTCCTTCCTACTTCCCTATTCCACTTATTACATCCCTGTCAAGTATCCCCTCTGTTAGTGAATCTTTCCCCTCAGCATATAAACATATTCAGGAATGTCATTAACAAACACACACCAATAAAAAAACAAGAAAAATAACAAGAAGATAATCTAAACTCTGAAACAAAGTATCTTGATTATAAATTTCCTCTAGCTTTCACCCATTATCTTTTAATACAGAACCAAAATTCTGTAAGGAGTAACATGAAGTTTAAACTTCCACATTCTGGTTTCTCACTTTCCATTCACCTGTAAATCTACCGCACTTGATCTTGCATTAATAGAATTACATGTTTGAAATGGCTCATTCAAAACTTACTGATGAACTTTCACCTGAACTATTTTATCTTCCTTTAAGTAATTTTTCAGTTAGATGTCCATGCCATTCTCTAAACATTGGGTTATCTTTCCCTTTCAGTTTCAGAAACGTCAAGTGAAAATGGAGTAATCTGTAATGGAATTTTATTATCTCACATAACTTAGCTAGAGCCCTTAATAAATGTCCTAACATATAGTGTCTCCAGGGCTGTTAATTACCAGTTCATAAATCAAGGGCCCTGTTGCTTTTCATTTTCAATTTTACCATGGTCAGGCTTGTTGCATATCAAGATTGTGCATGTGTGTGTGTGTCTTTGGTAAGATCAAAATCACACATGCCAACATCCATTTAGGGTAGGGAGGCTGTTTCTCCCCATACATCTTTAAGAGACTGAAAACTTCTTCCAGAAAGCTTTTATTGGTGCCCAGTGACACAGGTCACATAACCTGGGGAGAAAAGCACTCATTTTTTTCTAAATAGAGAAAGTCCTACTTGGCCTTCAGCACCATGCCTACCTATAAATATATCACCCTCACTGGGAAATAGACCACCATATGAGCCCAAACTTATCAGCATTTACTTGATCCATGTAGAAAAGGAATGGACACAGGCTTCTGCCAGCAACGAGGAAACAGAGCAATGATTTTTGGGTGGACAACCCAAAAATTACTGTATACTTTTTACTGGCTTTTCTGCTTCTAGTAAAATTGTTTTAAGTCTCCCAGCTTATGCTCATCCCTTGAATATTCATACTAATAGAGTTGTTCAGGGCCCCTCTCCAGTCATTTTCTTTCTCCCAATTTTTCACTCCCATCTTCGGTTCTGTATACCAACCATAAGCTCTTCACATGGAAACCTGTTTTTCTTCAAGAGACAATTTACCTGTGTTTCAAATGACATCTGCTTGAACAGACAAGGGCAAATCTAAACTAATTACCCCTCTGCAATGACGCATACACTCTCACACAGGAAGACACACATTCACAGGCCTACACACTCACACAAACATGCACACAATGACACAGATACACAGACATATGGACTCATTCCAAATCTTTACTTTTTTTGGAGCATCTGTTGAATTTATTCAGTATAACCACAGAAGTATTGTCTTCAGGCTGTCACACACAGACACAAACACAGACACAGTACAATGTCCATATTTAGCCCAAGCGTTTTCCTTCTGAGATTCATTTATATGTCTTCATATGCCACAGCCCATCATTTAAATAATGGATATTTTCAATGCCAATCCCTTTGTTGACTTTCTCAATATCTTCTGCAGACATCTTCATAACTCCAACACACAGGGCATGCTGTTTTCCTTCTGCCATGATTGCAACAACCATATCCACCGCAGCAGGGTAAAGCTTCGCTCCAGGAGAGGTTAAGCCGGGACACATGATATTTGCTCCACTGAGTACAAATTTGATGGCTCCTTTATCAACTTGCTGACGTGGAAGGATAAAAGGGTATTTGTGTAGTAGCCTTAAAGTTGGGTAAAAAGGCCCTTCTCTTTGTCTAAAAAATAGCAACTCTCCGTTTACTGTAAGGATTTCTATGTGTTCGTGGCATCGCACTATTTTGACCGGATCTTTCTTAGGCATGATTTGATTAAGCCATGGTTCAATGCCTGGAAACTGCTCTATCAACTGGTTCTTAATACCCTTAATAACTGACGTTTTCAACTGGATGCAGTTGGACACATTTTCTTTTTCATCAAATTTCTTGAACATGATCCAACGTTACTGGGGCGACAGTAGGGAAGGTCCCGGAATGAGGAAAGAAGTGAATTCGCGAGGGTCGGCAAAGGCGCTTACCGGAGGAAGGCCGGAGGAGACGGTCGCAGCTGATGTCGTGAACCGGAGAGGAACGTGCTTTACGGCTCTTCGTAAAATCTTCTTCCGGTCTCTGGACCGCCAGGCGCTTTCGCTCGTGGTTTTCTGCTACGGATTCCTCTCCCCCGCGGGTAGGTTAAGAGGGCGGAGCTTAAAAAGGAAGAAGAGTTAGAGCAATTCTTCTTGTTGCAGGAAAATAAACGTGGAGGGAGCCTGTCGTTTATTTTAATAAACGAATCAACATCCAGTTACCCAAGCCCGGACCGGCGGCGACTCCTACCTGATAGTCCTCTTCTAAATACGTCATTACAAGGGGTCGAGACCTGTTCATTGGTCCTCTCCGGAATCTCTCACAATCTTCCGCTGCGCTCACGCTGTCTGACGTTGTTGCGCTCAGGTCTAAATAAGTGCAAGCAGTTGCCGCTTGTCACCGCTGAATGCCACCTTGTCCCTTCCGAGGTCGCACCACCTGCAACCAAAGAGGAGAGGATTTGCGATCCGAAGGGATGCAAATGTTGGATTTCAATCGTTTTAAACATAACGAAACTAATTTTACAGCGCAGAATACGGTGCCCCAGGTCCTCCTGAAAAGAATGCGCATTCTGCTTGCTTTGGGTTCAGTGCTGTGTACATGCCAGTGATGCCTCGTTGGTGGGTAAAGCTGTTAAGGTGTTTTTTCTCCTTACTGATTTTCTGCTTGTTAATATCAATTACTGATAAGCATATTGAAACTATGATTGTGGATCTGTTTCTCTTTTCAGTTCTATCAGTTTTGGATTGATATATTTAGAAGCTCCATTTATTAGGTCCATACTCATTTAAGATTAATATGGTCACCCTGTTAATTAGGATTTTATCCATATAGATTTTAGTTATCCTAAGAAGCGTGAGGTTTACGAGGGCAGAAATTATGTATTTTATCTCTATATTCTTTCACCAAACACAAGGTCTGTTTCATGCTACATACCACATACACACCAAGTGCCTGATAAATGAATAGAAGAATGCTTCCTGTTAAGATCCGACCCCTTTCTTTCCCTACCAGTACTATGAAGAAAGAATGAGGGCAAATCCTTGCTATCTGGACACTTCTCTTTCCCCGGTAAACGCATGCTGAGTTTGGGAAGTGTACACTGTGACTGGAATTAAAACACGTGCTGGATATACAATGGAAAGATAACATACATTCCCCCATTCTTGAGAGCTTACAGTACATGAAGGTGGTGTGTGTAATCTCCCCATCCTCGAGATCAAATTCTATATTAGTCTGAGTTTTCCCAGACTATCTACTTATACGTAACTGTATGTGTGTGTGTATGTGTGTGTGTTTTCTAAGAAATTAGCTCACATGATTATAGAGGCTGAGAAGTCCCAACGACAGCAGTTAAGCTGGAGACTCAGGAGAACCAATGGTGTCATTCAGTCTCAGTCCAAAGGCCTGAGAAACAGGAGAGCTAATGGTTTACATTCTAGTCTGAGTCCAAGTCAGAACACCAATGTGCCACCCCAAAAGCTGTCAGGCAGGAAGAATTCCTTCATATTCAGGGGACAGTCAGCTTTTTTATTCTATTCAGGGCTTCAGCTTTTTGGAGATCTGTCCACATTAGAAAAGGAAGTCTGCTTTACTCTACTAACTGATATGTTAATCTCATCCAGAAACACTCAAAAATGTTCGAACAACTCTCTGGGCACCCCGTGGACCTCAAGTTGACACACAAAGATAACCCTCACCAGGGTAGACCATCTTAAATTAGGTAGTATAGAGTGGGAGTGTTTATGTGTGGTGACTCTAGAACCCAGGAAAGATTCCTGCTCCATCACTTAATAGATTGAAATCCTGGAAGTTACTGAACGTGTCTGTGTTTCAGTTTATTCATCATGAATGTGTGGTTAACAGGAATGCCTGTTTCCTGGGGATGGAGGTGAGAATTTCTTGAATTAATATTTAGAACAATAGGATTTTAAGTGTTTCACACAGCTATTATTAAATTAACATGAACACAGTTCCATGAATATTTTAATACTGTCTTCATACAGGAGATAGTTCAGCTGGCCCCATATTTGAGCTTTTCTCTTTCTGGCTGGATTTCTGATCTGCCTCCCTGAGATTTCGGTCAATTTCAGCCTGTGAGGTGTCACACATTTCTAGACACGTCTCGTTATTTTACAATCAACTAACCTTGCCCATTATGTACGGGTTTTATGTGCTAAACTCTTACAGGATGATTCTTTTTTTCCTCAGGGTTGTCCCATTCTTATGTGAAATTAGTACTGTGTGTGCAGCATAAATAGGGTGTCATAGAAATTCAAGGGAGGAAGAGTCATTACTGACTAGAATTAACCAGGGTGACCTGTCTGTAGATGACTAATAGTTTAATCAGAAATTATCTCATTTGGAACTGGCTACTGGAGAAATGCTTAAGGGATTTTTTTTTAATGAAGCTATTTTAGACAAAAGACTCTGAAAGTATAGTCATTGAAAAATCTGTTTGAAGTCAAGTAATCATTTTTATCTGAAGTCATACTTAATTCTGTACAATGTAACTTTTCCAAGGTAAACTTTCTCTGGGCCCACAAACATCTATTTTCTGTCTACCATGAAAGGGCACCAAAGTATAGTTTCTGCATCAAAATTCTTCAATTAAAAATTAAAAACACTCTTTTTTTTTTTCAGTTTTTCTAAAAGCTCACCTTCTCTAAAATGGAGCCTGGTTCTTGATCTTTATAGAAGAACCTAGGTCTTTGAGGCTGGTATATATTAACATATGAATAAATATGATACATAAATATTGCTTAAATTAAACTATTAAAATACACTACCAAATCATTCTGGTTAAATAACTTAAAATTAATTCAAACAATCAACTCTAGACTTTTAAAAGAAGAGGGAAAGTGAAGGCACCAAACTCAGTGTTTTAAGCCTGGATATCCTAAGTTTTATTAACATCCCTTAATATTACTTTATTTTCTCATGATGTCAATAATATTGTACGTACTTCACACTGTGTACATGAGAAATTTAAAAATACAGTATATAAGGGAGTTAGTAGTAGGAAACAGTACATTTAAAAGTATTTATTTGCAAAACACCATTTGTGCAGTTTTGAGGACTAAGATTATACAATGTAAAAATTTTACAGAAAATTACTGTAACTGCATAATTTACTAAGTCAAATAGGAGAGGCCAAAATTCAATTTTGTCTGTAATCACAAGAGAGTATATAATTGAGATATAGTGGTTATGCTGCAAAGTTAAAATGAGGAAGCTGAGAACATTCCTGAGGTTCTTCAAATCTCCAAAATTTGAGGCATGATTGGCACACTTGAGTTGTATTTTAATATTTAAAAATGTTTCACCTTAATATGGCTTTGTCTGCAGTTTGAGAAATGACCATTAGAGGGCAGGAGAACCAAATTGAAGTCTACGATTAATAGGTAACTTCTTATAGTTATTTTTCCTCATTTGTATTTCCTAAATAAATAAGTCCATCTCTACAGAATCACAAAATATTGCCCAAGCTTAGGTGAAACACATTCTAAATAGGGATTGATTTACAATTTGTTTATTTTTTCTGTCTATAAATAATCAACAATAAAACAATTATTTTTTAAAAGATGTCTATAAAAACACATTAGCCCTACCTTTCTGGCCTACTCAAAGAAATATAAAAATATTTTTTCTCGCATTGCTGCAATTTATGAGCTATTTCTGGAAATTAAGATAATTTGTGTATTGTAAAAATCACAACATCCAAAATGTTTTTATACCTAATACCTTATTGCTCCATTCCACAGGTAACACTGCTAAGTTTCTCATCTACTTCAAAAAAGTTCTCTGCATACTAAACATAGAGGTGTAGTTAGAATGTGTAGTTTGTGTGCACATGGGCATGCCTAGAAGAAACAGCCCCACATAGGAAGAGTGGGCAGGGGTCCCCAGGATCTTAGGGGCTGTCATTCCCAGAGCAGCCCCACTAGATGGTTGAGCCCTGGACTAGGAGGCTGGAGCCCTCCTTTCCCGTCTGGACACCCACCTCACAGCCTGGGCCAGCCCCCACCTCTCCTGGCCTCAATTTCAGGACTGTAGCATGAGGGTTGGAGATGGAACCTTGTGAGCCAAGCTCAACATGGACCTGGCCCCTGGGTGGGGGTCAGGGGGCACATGTCCTCCCTCCACATGTGGTCTCCAAGTGGAGCAGCCAGCCTCATATTCATGGGGGAGTACATGGGCTGCGGACAGTATGTGCATGACATGCTGCCTCATGTCATGCACAATGTACCAACGGTTCCCATTCCTGTCTGTACCACTTCAGAAGCCACTGCTCTGATACCCCATGACCACTGGAACCACTGTGTCGCCCCACTCCTGCCAGGTGGGCCAAAGCCCTATGGACATGAGAGTCCTGGAATACCCCCATCCCACTGACCTCCCCAAACTATACCCCACAAGCCAGCTCTGTGAATGGCTGGGTCAGAGGGTCCTGGAGGCAGCAGTGGACACTGAGTCCAGGCAGGGAGAAACTCAGGCCACCCCTTTGCCCTTCTTGATGCTCCCCTCCCTGTTCTCTATGGCAGGACCCCAAGACACGAGTTCCAGCCTGTCTCATAGTGTAATGGGACAGGAAGGAGCCCTGGGAGGAGGTGGCCCCACAATGAAAGCAGAGTGAATGGTGAGGGTAATCACTGTTATGAGGGAATATTGCCCCCCATGCTCAATGAATTCACTCCATTTTGTAGATGGGCAGTGGTGCCAGAGCTCAAGGTCCCTCAGCTATAAGTGAGCAAGGTGGAACTGAGGCTTGGCTCCAGGTCATTTTGACCCGAAAGGTTGTGGTGTTAACAGAGGCCCAAGGAGCTGGCCCCTGAGCCCAGTCTTAGAGGTGAGTCCATCACAGTTTGAGCAGTGGGACAACTGGGGCAGTGGGGAGGCAGGTAATGGGGAAAGGCAGGCAGGGAGCTGTGAGGTGGGCCAGGGTTTGCAGGGCTTCTGGGTTAGGAAGGCTCTAGGGAGGCTGAAGTGGAGGCTAGACTGGGAGGCCAAAAGGACCAGGCCACACAGAGCTCTGAATGCCAGACAAGGGGTCAGAGGTCACAGCAGGTAGAGGGTGGGCAGGAAATACAATCCAGGTAGTCTTATCAGTATCTGAAAGCTGAGTAGAGCACATAGTTATCCACCTCCACCAAAGCATGGGTCCCAAAGAGCTCCTCAGGGTTGAGAACAGACCTGCCTCAGTGTCCCCATGTACAGTGGAGGGCTGTGGTAGCTGTCTGCCCCCCAGGATGAGATGTGCTGTCTGGAAGGGCCAGGACTGGTTACTTGTCTAAGTAACTATTCAGGAGAGGTCCAAGTGAGGGGACCACCCCACCCGTAGAGATCACCAGGGTGCTCTTGTCCATGTTGCTGTTGACCTCCGTCCAGGCTGACAGGGATGAAGCAGCACTGCACACCTGCTGGACATGAAACAACAGTGAGGAGGTGGAGTTGCTGTCCTCAGAGGCATCGTGCTTATGGCTGTGTTTGGCAGTCAAGGGCATGGTAGAAGCTGATGAGATGCTGCTGGAGATCAAACTGATGCTGTAGATTTGGGGGGTGTAGGGAGAGGTTGACTCTCAGAGCAATGAGGGTGCTAAGTAATGCAGACCCCAGCCAGTGGGGTCTGTGTGTTGTGGCTGTGACAAACAAATTCACACAGACTACAGAAGTCCTGTGAAGAAAAAGGGACAGCATGGCCCCTCTCTGAGTGAGAGAGAAGGCGCCCACCCCTGCCTAGACAAGCTTTTATTGCTTTTCTGGGTACATTACATTGAGGATGGTCCTCATTTACTATACACACGTTCACTTTAGGTGGTTACCTATTACAGAAAACAAAGGAGAGGATGTTGCTAATTACATCAAAGAAGAAGGATATTTGCAAATGCAAAGGGAAAAGTGGTTGAACTGGTTACACTCCATACTTGGGAGGTTTAGCTCAGATTTTAGGAAGTTACTTTAAAGATATGCAGTCAGCATTTGCTGCCTCAATTCAGGGTGAGGGAGTTTTAGCAAAAGCAAGCCTCATAGCAGCCTAGGTACAGTACAGGCCTGATTCCCCATGAGGAAAACCTCTGTGAGTGTGGTCCTGTGTGCCACTTGCTCCCCACTGACCTTTCTGAGTAGGGGCTGGGCTACATTCCCCATACCATGCAGATAGGTTCCATATAGGTAAGGTTAGCAGAAGTCCCAGACTCTTCAGGGTGCCATCTGCCAAGATGCAACATCCAGGACTTTTAGAAACTAGGGCTTCTTGGCTCCTTTTATGGGTGCTGATTGGGGAACACTGGCACTGAGAAAAGAGGTTCCATGGCAGTGCTGACAGAGGACTCCAGGATAAAGCTCACGTTGATCTTCAGAGCCAGAGGAGCCAGCTGAGTGCTCACTGTACACACCAGCAAGTCCCCTCTGTGAGGTAGGACTGTATCTTTGGTCACAGGATTTGGAGTAAGAGCTGCTGCTGATCCTGGGCTTTCCTTTGGGGTCCTTGTGGCTGAATGGAAGGGTTGGCTGTGCAGTGGTCAGGCCCACTGGTAGAGTGGGTGCCCTTGGGTACAGGTGTCAGTGACCCACACCCAGGAAGACACAAGGAAGTGCACAGAGGACAGTGATAGGTGGTGGGCAGGGCGCCACAACCATGCCAGCATTCCTTGGCAAAAGTAAGCTAGTCTTTTGGACCCCAGAGGGCAGAAGGCACCCAAAGCTCTGAGTGGTCTATGGGAGTTCAAATCGGTTGTGGACCAGCTGGTTTCTTATATATGACACACATATTTTCAACAGCCAAGAGAACTTCAGGGCAAAAGTGGAATCTGAGGGTGGCCTGGGCTGGCAGTAGGGGCAGAAAATGCCCTAGTAGTCTAGTGTACTCCAGTCAGTAAGTACTTACCTGCCTGACAGCCCAGACCCTGGAGGGTACAGCTCTGTGCTTGACCAGTGCCAGGGGCTGATTAGAAGATGCCCTTGGTGAACTAGAAAAAGAGGAGGAAAGTAAAACAAAAGTTAGCAGAAGGAAGAATAATAAGAATTAGAGCAGAGATAAATGGAATAGAGAACAGATGAGCATTCAAGAAAACAATGCAAACAAAAGTTCCTTCTTGGATGGCTTGGCTGGTGTAGCTTAGTGGACTGAGTGCAGGCCTGCAAACGAAAGGGTCACAGTTCAATTCCCAGTCAGGGCACATGCCTGGGTCCCCAGGTAAGGTCCCCAGCAAGGGGTGCACAAGAGGCAACCACACATTGATGTTTCTTTCCTTCTCTTTCTCCTTCCATATCTCTCCTTCCCTTCCCCTCTCTCTAAAAATAAATAAAATCTTTTTTGAAAAGTTCCTTCTTGGAAAGATGTACAAAATTAACAAATATTTAGCTAGATTGTCTAAGAAAAGAGAGAAAGCTCAAATTACTAAAATCAAAAATGGCAGTGGGTCATTAATGACTCTACATAAAGAAAAAAGATTACTAAAAATACTAAATACTATGAGAAATACTAAATACTAAATACTATGAGAAATACTAAATACTAAATACTATGAGAAATACTAAAAACAATGGTAGGTCCTCATTAATTAAGCTGGATGAAATGGATAAATTCCTAGAAGCCCACAAACTACCAAACCTGACTCAAGAATAAATGGAAAATCTAAATAAGACCATAATAGTAAAAAGATTGAATAAGTTATCAGAAACTTCCCAACAACAACAAAAAGCAGAGAACTTCTATGGTAAGTTCTCTCAAATATTTTAGGAGCTATGACACCAGTCATTCTCATATACCCACAAAAAGGTATAAGAGGGAGGAATACTTTAAAATTGTTTCCATATGTTTATTGATTTTAGAGGGAGAGAAACATTGGTGTGAGAGAGAAACATCAATTGGTTGCCTCCCATAGATACTCCAACCAGGGATCAAACCCACACCCTAGGTATGTGCCCTGACTGAATTTGAACTCCCAACATTTTGGTGTATGGGATGCTGCTCCAACCGAGCCACACAAGCTGGGGTGAGGAAGAAATATTTTTTAACTCATTCTGTGATGCCACCATTCTACAGTGATACCACAGCAGACAAAGACCACAAGAAAAGGAAATGACAGGCCAAGAATCCATTATGAATAATGATGCAACAATCCTCAACAGAATACGAGCAAAGAGAATTAAGTAGCATATTGACAGGGATATATGTCATGATCAAGTGCAATTTGTTCAAGGAATGCAAGGGTTGTTCAAGTAGGTAAACCACCAAATGTAATGCACCATATCAATGAGATGAAGGAATAAAAACCACATGGTCATCTGTAACAAAGTATAAAACCATGATAAGAGAACTCAATAAAACAGAAATAGAAAATAATTTTCTCAACATGATAAAGAATATTTATGTAAATATTAATACCTAAATTAATATTTATGTATTAATTTATGTCAGTTGTCTCTCATATATGCCTCAACTGTGGACCAAACCTGCAACCCAGGCATGTGCCCTGACTGAGAATTGAACCAAGGACTTTTCACTTTACAGGATGATTCCCAACCAACTGAGCCATACTGGTCATGGCCAAAAACAGTCTTTTCAACAAATGGCACCATAAAAACTTAATATTCACATGCAAAAGAACAAGGTTGGAGCTTTATTCTAACACCATATGAAACTTTAACTCAAAATCAATCCAAGACCAAAATTTAAGAGTTAAAAAAATAACACTATTAGATTTAAACATAGGGACAAATCATGACCATCAATTTGCCCGTGGTGTCTTATATATGACTCCAAAGGAAAAAGCAACAAAAGAAAAAAACATAAATTGAAATTCATCAAAATTATTTTTTTTAAATGAAAGGACACTCAAGAGATTTAGAAGACAACCCACAGAATGGGAAAAAATATCTAGAATATACAAAGAATTCTTGTAATTCAACAACAAAAACACAAACAGTCCAATTAAAAATGGATAAAGTACTTCAATACACATTTACCCAAAGAAGATATACAAATGCCAACATGCATGTGAAGACAGAAAGAACAAAATATCAAAAACTATGATGAGATAACACTTCATACCCACTAAGAAGGTTGTAACTTAACAACAGGAAATAACCGTTCGAAATGTTGAGGAATTTGCAGCATCATACCTTGCTGAGAGCAATGTTCAATGGTGGTATAGCTGTGGGAAACAGGCTGGCAGTTCCTCAGAAAAGTTCAGTGTGGCATTGCCAATGGACTCAGCACCCAGCATTCCAATCCAGCATATGTACACAAAGTAAATTAATACAGGTATTCAAACAAATGCCTGTATGCCTGTTCATAGCAGTACTATCCACAGTATCTGAAAAATAGACATGACCCAAATCTCCATCAGATGAATGGATAAAGTCATATATACATACAATGGAATATTAGCCAAAAAAAGGCCTGAGATATTAATACACGCTACAGTGTAGATGAACCTTATAAACATTGTGCTATTTTAAAGAAACCCCTTACCAAAGGCCACATCTTGTGTGATACACCACTTGTATAACATCCTAAATAGGTCAATGACTAGACCCAGGAATTGTTGCCAGGGAGCAGGGGTTATGCAGAAAGGGAAGTAACTGAATGGGCACTGGGTTTCTGCTTAGGGTGATGAAAATGTGCTGGAACTAGACAAGTGATAGTGTACTGTGTAGTGAATGCAGTTAATGCCATCAAATTGTACAATTTAAAATGTTTTAAAAGGTAAACCTCCTTGCTGGTGTAGCTCAGTGGATTGAGCTCGGGCTGCAAACCAAAGTGTCGCAGGTTCAATTCCCAGTCAAGGTATATGCATCGGTTGCAGGCCATGACCCCCAGCAACCGCACATTGATGTTTCTCTCTCTCTATCTCCCTCCCTTCCCTCTCTAAAAAAAATGAATAAAATATTTTTTTAAAAGTTAAACCTAATTTAATATGTGTTTTATACAGGTATCCATAAAGTCTATAAAAAAAAACAATTACAAAAGAAGAAAAAAATGTCCCCACAGACTAGGGACAGGAAGGCTCTGTTTTTGGAGCTGCTACTAGCTGTATCTCTCTCATAAGCTTGCACTAGAGGTGACACCAAACCTCATTCTGGTTCTAGAGCAGATGTTGGATCTGGAGCTTTAGTTGGCTCTTGCTGTGGAGTTACGGGTAGCTCTGGAGTAACTGTGAGAGCTGACTCTAGGGTAGGTGTTGGTGCTAGAGCCATTTCTGGAGCTGGTTCTAGCTCTGAAACTCATAGTGGCTCTATCCCTATCATTGATGTTGGGGCCAGTTATAGGACTACACCTAGTGCTGGAGGTAGCTCCCAAACTGATGACAGAGCTACTTCTATATCTGGAGTAGCTGGTAGTGATGGTGTTGGCGCTAGAGCTAGAGCTCTTGTTGCAACTGGTATGAGCTCTTGAGTTGGCATAGGCTCTAGCTTACAACTAACTGATGCTAGAACTAGTTCTGGACCTGACTCTTCTGAAACTCGTACTGATCCCAGTTCCAACCTGGCACTGCTCTAATTCTGCAATCTATTTGGAGCAGGTTTTAGCTCTAGAGGTGGTGATGCAACTGTTGCTGGATTTGGCATAGGAGACCATGATAAAGTGGACTCTACCTCTGGAATTGGTATCAGAGCTCTTGCCTGAGCTGGTTCTACTTCTGGTGGTGATGCTAGAGCTGATGATGGAGCCATTTCTAGTTCAAGAGCTGGTGCCTGAGTTGGCTTTAGCTGTAAAGCTGCTGCAGGAGGTGGTGCTGGCACAGGCTCTGGCTTTGTTAACTGATTCTAGAGTCAGTGTTGTAACTGACTCTTTCTTGAGCCTTATGATGGTTTTACTTCTGTATCTGACCCTGGTTCTGACTCTGCAGTTGGTTTTGGAGCTGCCTCTAGGTCCAAAGGAGGCCTGCCTCAGAGGCCTCCCGTGTACAGTTGGGGACTCTGGTGGCCATCTGTCTCCTCTCAGGAATGGCGTAATGCCTAAAAAACCCAGAGCTTGCTACTTTTCAAAGTAGTCATTCATGAGAGGTCTGTACTCAGATAGGTCTAAGTGAGGGGACCAAGGGGACACCGCACCTGGGCAGCTCACCAGGACGTTCTGGCACATGTTGCTGTTGTCCACCACCACACTGACAAAGTGGCCACAGGTGTGGTGGGATCTGAGTCGGAAGAGGGGCTGCTGGGAGCTGACCTATGCCTGAATGACCCAGAATGACGGGAATGTTGACTCCAAGAACTCTGAGGACAGCGAGAGCCACAAATGCTGGACTCTGCCAGGCAAACCAGACCTACTTAGAGGAAGGGAGAGGCTGAGAAAGGTAAGATATGTCAGAGAAATGGGGCAAGGTGAGAACTTCATGTACTGGCCAGTGGGAACCCTAGGAACACTCACCTTGTTCTTTTTCCCAGAAGATTGGAGGAGCTGACTGAGTGCACACTGAGGACATCAGCATATCCCTGTTGCTAAGGCAAGGGACACATTTGAACTGGTCCAAGAACTAAGAGTAGAAGATGTGCTATCCCTTGTGGCTAGATAGAGAGATATGCCTTGGGCACCAGTGGCCACGACCTGCTCTTGAGAGGTATGAGGGAAGGGTACATAAGGCACTGCCCTGTGGTGCACTTCTGGAGCGGGATGCTATGGTCATTGCCAGTACTCCTTGGCAAGCATCAGCTAGTCTTCTGGTTCCCAAAGAGCAAGAAAAACCCGGGCCTATGAGTGGAAAAAGGGAGGCCAGGGCAGTCCACTGAAGGGCAAGCACTGAAGCTACAGGAGGGTTGCAAGGTGCATCTGGACTCCCAGGTGAGTTGCAGGTTAAGCAGAAAATGCCCACCTGGTGTGGGACCCTGCACTCTGTAAGTGCTTAGCTACCTGAATAGCCAGACCCTGGGGATGTAGCCCTGTGCTGGCCAGTGCTAGGGGCCAATTAGGTGTCCTTGGCAATCTGGAGTCTCAGCTGCTTCATGAGAGGGTTGGACTGGCTCCATGCCTGACCTTCTCTCCTTGGTAAAAGTCCGCTTTGCAGAACAGGTTGGTGTTATCAGGGATCTTCAGCTCTGGTGGGGTGGGGGCAGAGGAAGGGTCAGCTGTGCTTAGGAGGAGCGCACAGGCCAAATATAAGGAACTGCATAGAAACAGAAAGGAGGTGACGGTCAGGGAGTGAGGGATGTGGAAACTGGGACCCTTTCTTGATGCCAGTGTTTCCCATTCTGCACCCACAGAAAGAGCCGTGTCCCAAGCTCCTGAGCAGGGCTCCTGGGGCCCCCCAGAGCTAAAAGCAGGTTTGGGGTGCCTGGCAAAGTCTGACATCACTAGTGTGGACAGGATTTCTGTTTGGCATGGTAAATAGTGGCAATAATTGCACAGTATATTAAATTTATTTAATGCCACTGAATTGTACCATTTAAAAATTATTAAAAGGTAAATTTTCACTGTATGTAAATTTCAAAACATAAAACCCAGTAAACCATAAAGTATATGAATTAGAAAAATTCTTTTAAAAAGTTACCATCACAAGGGAGAGAAAGTCAGCTCCAGCACTGGAGCAGTGCTGGCTGTAGCTTGGGTACTGACTGCCGGGCGGGGGTGCTCTAGCACTGGAGCCTGTGCTGCAGCTGATGGTAGACATGCAACTGGCTTTGGCTGTGGAACAGGCATAGGATATGGTGCCAGTGCTGGTGCTGGAGCAGGCTCTAGCTCAGGCAGTGGTGCTAAAGGTGATTCTAGAATTGCTGCTAGTTCTGTGGCTGACTCTAATTCTCGCACTGGTACCAGAATTGGTGAGAGAATGAATTATGGATATTGCTTTAGGTCTGCCATCTGGAACCAGAGCTGGCTGTAACTCTCAACCTGGTCCAAGTCTTCAAGCTGGAGGTATCTCTATTTCTGCAGCTGGTCCTATGTCTAGCTCTATAGCCAGTGCCAGAGCTATCTCTTAATTCCACAGGCATGTACATCCTTGTGCTAGAGGTGACCATAGGTTTGAAGCCCCCACTTACTGGCTGTGGGTTAGATGTTGTCCCACCTGTTGAGCTGTGAGCTCTGAGGGCACAGGTGTCTGGGGTTCACATTATATTCCAGCTGCCTTCACACTACAGCGAGCAGTACACAGGTGCTAAATGCATCAATGAATGAACCAGTCAACCTAAGGCCTTTTTGTCTCAGGTCTCATCTGTAAAATGAGAGCAGCCACCTGATAGGCCTGTTGGGAGGATAACACTGATTCAGTGCATAGGTAAGTGCCTACTAGGTTCTACCAGAGGAAGCTGACTGGAACAGGGCTCAGAGGGAATGTGGGTCACAGGCCAGCCAGAGCAGCTGCCAGGATCAGTAGGTCATACGCATTTCCTGGTTGGTCATACAGGTGTCCAGCTCAGGACCAACCTGGGTTGGGCTGGAGGGGATGTGGGTCCCTTGGCCTGAGCACCCATGCTACTCATGATCCCTTGTAGCCATTCCCTTAAATGCCCTGTTTTGCCATCTTTAAAATGAGCAGGAGGAAACCATTCCTAGGTTCCCCCATAATGTTTCTGTTGATCCTATGAGACAGTCAAAGACGTCCCTGTGATCTGTCTTCCCATGGGTATAACCAGAAGCTGGGGGTTAAGTTTACCAAGGGAACTTAACAATGTCTTCCAGGAGACTGGCTAGGATCCCTTTTCTAGTCACTGTCTACACTTGGTCCAGATCCCTGGCCTTTAACCCCAATTGGCTACAAAGATTCTGGCATTGATGGCAAGCTAGTCATGTTTCCAAGTGCTATAGAAAGCCAGTTTGAAGCAGGACGGACAGAACAGTGAGGGCCAGCCCTATGAGTCATCAAGACCAGAGAGAGATCTTTGCAAATTTGTAGACAAATGGCTTCCTTTCTTCATTCTCTCTTCCTGATCTTTCCCCCACCTGCACTGTATTCCATCTCAGGGATGGCCATCATTCATATAACCGGATCGACAACAAAGGAAATTGGTTGTTTTCAATCTTTTCTCATATGAAGAAGGCTGCAGTGAGTAACCACTGCATATGTTGAGTGTACATGTTTCTGTGGGAAAAATGCCCCAAACCTGGGCTGAATCAAAGGGCAGACATTTGTAACTTTGATAGATGTGGCCTAACTGCCTCCATTGGAAAGCAACAGGCATTCCCACCACTAAAGAATAGAAGTTCGTATTCTATACAGCTCCATAATATATCCTCAATCTTCTGGGTTTAGTAATTTTGTCAAATAATTGAGACTAGCATATTTCATGTGTATAAGGCTACTTACATTGTTTGTGAAGTATGTGATGATGTATTTCGTCCACTTTATATTTTGTGGCTGCTTTTTTCTCATCAGTT